ACTCCCTGAAGAGCTGGAATTTTGCTTTCTTCAAATTCAGTGTTCTGACTTTACTCTTTGCCTGCCCCATATCCGTTAGGACTGTAAACTCCACCAGTGCATGATCACTGCATCTTAGTCTCTTCTTCTTTGTCATTTGCTTTCCCAATGTGTTATGCTATTATTGAAACTCACTGCAACTACTGACATGTTCGCCATCATGATATCATTTATGTAATAGGGGTCAGCTCTAAATTCATGTCTTCCTCATCCTCAGAACCCAGCAAACACGACATTAGGATTCAAACTAGTGTTTGATACTGATATTGCATAGACTTTTACGTGGTTGGAAGTGAAATCTATCATCTAAAATATCACTGAATAATGTTAAAAATGAGGATAAGATAAAGAAGTAAAGATATTATTTTTCTGTTTATTCAAGATTTTTGAAAAAGAAACCCTATAAAATTCTAAACATGGCTATTCATCTTCCTAAATCATCAGGGGAAGGAAGTGAAGGAATGTTCTATGCTAATTAAAATAAAAATATTCTAAAATGCAAATAAAATGTCACTTTATAGCAGCTTCAGCTCCTAAGTGCGATTACCTATAACCGACAGTAACCCGATAAAATTTTAACTTTAAAGACTGCAATTTAAACAAGTGAACCCGTGTGTTTGTTATTTCTTCATTAAAGTTTCACTAGGTGGAGCTCTAGGTTAAACATCCTTGCAGTTTGCAGTCGGCCGTGTCACCCTCTTGGAGGAACATCCCCTTAGTTCCTTTGAGGTCTTTGGCTGGTGCAGCCGGCAGGCATCTGTAAACTTACTGAGGGAGCACTCGATCTCCTCATCCAGATCATTGATAAAGATATTAAACAGAACTTGCCCCAGTACTGAGCCCTGGGGAACACTGCTTGTGGCTGCCAGCTGGATTTAACTCTTCACCACAACTCTTTGGGCCCAGCCATCCAGCCAATTTTTTACCCATCAAAGAGTACACCCATCTAGGCCGTGAGCAGCCAGTTTCTCTAGGAGAATGCTGTGGGAGACAGTGCCAAAGGCTTTACTAAAGTCCAGGTAGGCAACATCCACAGCCCATCCCTCGTCCACTAGTTGGGTCACCTGGTCATAGAAGGGGAGATCAGGTTGGTCAAGCAGGGCCTGCCTTTCATGAACCCGTGCTGGCTGGGCCTGATCACCTGTTTGTCCTGTACGTGCCACTTATGCCACTGTCAAATAGTGTTCAGCTATAGCTGGGTGAACAGAGCAGGCTTTCTCCGTAACAGGAGAAGGGTTAAGTTTCCTGCAGGTGTAAAGGTGGTCCTTTTTGCAGCTAGGTATCATTGAGGCTATCAGTAGTGTTCGAAGTGGTGTGCTTTCTTTGTGAATAACCTTGTTTTTCTAGGACTGCTTTCACTGTTCAGTATGTTTCTCTCTCTTTCTCTCTTTTTTTCCTTTTTATATGTCTAGAACATTTCTGTCACGCATTGCATCTTATTGCACGAGTAGACATTACTAGTCCTCTTTAGGAGGCCTATTTGCAGAGGGCAGCAAGTGGCCTGGCATCTATCAAAACAGAGCAGTGTGGATTTTTTATTCCTGTCTCCCTTTAGAAACAGTTTGGTCTGGAAGTACTGACTTAAAGGCTATTTTAATGCATACCAGGGCTTGATATAGGACAGAATATACTGAGCAAGTTCAGGAGACCCTAGAAGATGTTACACTGCCATCCATTAGGAGAAAGTGCACAGGCTGGTATGTTTTACATAGGCCATACCATTTGCATGGCCCAGTGATTATTTTACTGTTCAGTCATCTGTGTATCTTCATCTTCAGCCTGAAAGTATGCAGACAGCACGGAGTTAAAATTTGGAGTAAAGTTAGGAACAGATGACAAAAATAATGCCTAGTTGGATATTAGATGTATCTCTCTGTGATGGTGGACTGGGACAATCCTGACAGTTCCTCCAACAGGCTTTGTACAGGAAGAGTGAAGTTGTGTGAATCACCTCAGTTTCACAAAAGTGTTGATATACAAGTTCATCAGAGATCTGCCTGCTTCTGTTCCTTGACATGTCAAAAATAATTTTCTCTACAGGGAAAAAAGATTGTTTTCAGTGAACTTTTATGTCATAGGTTACAAGTATGTAACCTTGAGATAGAGACAAAAGCCACAAAATGCCTAAAGAAGACTCCTTCTTATCAGTATTTATCCATTTATCCATACAGTGATTATCCAACCACCCCCTGAGACTCCTTGTCTTGGCTTCCTTGGGTTTTTTTACACAGGAGACTGGTACGGATATAAAACATATGTATGTGTCTAGGTAAACTACTGCAAAAGCTTACATGGATGTTCTTACTGCACTGTAAATGAAGATGACTGTGTCTTCAACTCCTGAATTCTTTTCTGAAGAACAACATTTAGCAAAAAGTGGCTTAGAAACATTTAAGTTAAAAAAAAAAAGGGGGGCAAAGACATGATGAACTTTCTTTTCTTTGATTAAAAGTTGTGCCCAGCTGAGTTTAGATAACCCGGTGGGTCTGCTTTGCACGGAAATAAGAGCATCCAATCTGATTAAGCAGGTCCTTCTTAGACTTTTACACAAAGTTTTGGCCACCTGGAAGCAGCTGAGAGTGATGCTGGTAGGAACAAGGCAACATAAGAAGCTTTTGCTGCTATGTGATTTTCTCTGGCTTAACAAAAGCCTGGTCTAAACAAGCAAAAGCTGAGTGTGTTTTCCAGCGAGCATTGTGGGAGCCAAACCTGAATTTCGCATAGAAAATAAAGTTTGTTCACTGTGCAAGAGGCTTCAGTGGATGAAAAACTACACATGCACAGCGTAAGCAGTGTGACATGAATCTTGCTGACGTATTTGCTTTAAAAGAAAAAGAAGTCCTGTTAAAAGGCTGGCTAGTATTTTTTTGTTCTTACAGGGATCTTACCACTGTGGCCAGTGCAAACCAGGATATACGGGAGACCAAGCCAGGGGATGCCAGGCTGAGAGGAGCTGCAGAAATCGAGCCCTCAATCCATGCAGTATCCATGCCCGTTGTATTGAGGAAAGGAGAGGAGAGGTGACATGCCTTGTGAGTTCATGAATTCATGCATTTGTACAGTGAAAAACAGTCTTTTCTAGGCTGGGACTGAGAAAGTCTTTGTGATCGTTTTATACAGTTGAATGTTTTAACCAGATTGTGGGACGTTGGGCCAGACTAGCTATGAAAATAACTGGGCTGAGTCTATCTTGCAATTGTTTTCTTCTTGTAGCATGTCTGTAAGGCAGCAATACTTGTGTACCTTATTTACTGTGTCTGTGTAATTAGATCTTTTGTGAATGGCTTTTATAGACTTTCTATAGTCTCCTCAGAAAGGACTGTCAATTGTCACTCTACAGAAGACATCGCAAGGGCAAATTCCTCTCCTGGTGCTCAGCTACATAGCTGTGAGTAGGGATCCTCTCTGCATACCCAACTGCCTGTATTTGCCTGCTGGTAGAGGCGGTATTTTTCCAAGCGAGACCACAGATTCTAGGCACAGGTAGGCTGTACTGTGCTTTCGAGCCCTGGGAGCAGAGGAGCACCAAGTGGCATATGAACTTTCATTGTATGAGTCTAACTGAAGCATATTACTTAGTTTTTCCAGTTTGCAAGGGGAAGCAAGAACCTAATCCTGTGTCCTAAATCTGGATACAGCGCGTGCTTCTGCAGGCACTCGCTTTGGTTTCATTTTCAAGTACATCTATTTCAAAGAAGGAGAATCTAGGATATTTTAAGTCCATGCTGTAATGGGAAAATGCCTAGATACTTGCGTTAGGCAAGTCCTCCTTTTAAGGGGAGGCCAGAGTTTGACATGCAGTTCTATGCATGTGTCTTCAGTTACAACACAAATTAGTCATTGGTTTGAAAGAGTACCAATTTAGTTGGCTAGGAGAAACTTGTGTGCAGAGGCAGTTGCTTTACTGATGCAAACTTAGTAACTGTCAGTGCAGTTTTCTCTTAAAAATTCCTCTAGTTGCAAATGTATTCTTGAGATACTGAACAAAACACAGTCATCCCATCTAACCATGGGCCCCTTGCTGAGATGCTAGGTGCATATTCTGCCTAGGTCCCCTCTTTTCTATTTTTTCCACCTGCAGGTGAGGAACCAAAATTGATTCCTGACCGGTGTCTAAGAGAAATCTGTATCTCCCACTGAAATCATTAAGTGTTGCGGGCACACATTCCATTTAACACCAAGTCTTAGCTCTTTCTAGCTGAGCCTACATATAGAGAGCTTGAAACAAAGATTTTCTTTCTACGTTGAGAGATGCTGAAGCGTACCTTGCACTGCGGTGTCTGTCCATGCTTCTGTATGTTAGTGTTTTCAAGACTGATGTGGGATTTCCTTCTTGAATATTGCTACAGTGACTCATTAACCTTTTGGTAGTACTACCATGGTGTTTTATTGATAGTGTGGCATTGGCTGGGCTGGTGATGGTTATATCTGCGGAAAAGATGTTGACATTGATGGCTACCCTAACGAAGAACTCTTATGCTCTGCTGAAAACTGCAGAAAGGTAAGAAATTCCTTCTTAATCCTGTAATAATTCAGAGCATGAAGGGGTGAAGAGGAAGGGTAGAATAAACATAACTAGATATATCAATCTTTTTTCAAGTTACTGAATTCTTCTGGATAAATTGTGTTTAATTTGATTAATTGATTAATTAAAACAACAACAGAAAAAGTTATTAAAATTATGAAGGCATCCATTTTACCCAGGGAAAACCAGACATGTCTCATTTTTTGTTTAGGACAATTGCAGATTTGTCCCAAACTCTGGACAAGAAGATGCTGATGGTGATGGGATTGGAGATGCCTGTGATGATGATGCAGATGGAGATGGCATTCCTAATGAGCAGGTGCTGTGTATAGATCAGGGTGCAGGGGTCTGTGCAAACAGAAGCATTTCATGTTACTGCAGTCGGCAGTGATTTTGAAGTCTGGCTCACTACTATTTGCCAGAGATTATCCCATACCCATCACAGTCAGCAGCTCTCCAAATCCTATCTTTTTTCTTTTATATGATGCTATTATAAGATGTGAAAAACCCAGGCTGTTTCCCCCAGCCTTAAATCCTGCCAATGTATGCTCCATTATTATATTTCAGCATTGAATTCTAGAACTTTTTATATACAGAACTTGTGTCCTGCTGTCCCATAGCATGGCCTTCAGGAATATTACTTGCGTCAGTGTCTTTTTAAAGAGCAGGTTGACCTGACATCACATTCCATGAGGGATTGAGAACTCACATAAATTAATGGATGTCTTGCCAATAACTTGAAAAAACTTTGAATCATGTTCTCAAAGCAAAAGAGGTTTCCATGTGGGTACACTACTGCAGAACGTATTAGAGAATAAATTCAAACTGTAAAAGCTCTTTTGTGTTCTCCTGTATCCTCACATGCCCACTGTTGTTTTATATTAAGATCCTTCTGTGGATTAATCTTAATGCTTAATGCATTTTCAAGGAAGTCAACAAAAGCACTGTCCAGAGTACAAATGTCCATGTAGAGTTAGGGCAGACTAGCAATCACAGAAAGTCCGTCTCAGGCTGTTTTGCCTACCCTAACTTACGGTAGCCACTGGTTTTATTAATGTTCTGTAAGGAAAGATGTTAAATCCTCCTTCAACTGTAAGTCTATATGCAGGTTCAGCACCTTCACAATCAAGCAACTTCTGTATTATTGCTAAGCTCTGTTCTGCCTCTTGAGTGTGCAAGAGGGTGAGGTCATGGGTGCACTAGATGGGAGAGGAAAGTTTACACCACTTTGAAATAAAGTTTTCTCCATATGCCTCCTGATGGTCTTAGAGAGTCAACAGCAGCTTGGTTGACAAAAAAAATAAGACTTGTACCTTTCTGCATAAGAAGTCCCGTTTTTCCAAGTGTTTCAGCTTTGGTTTGAGTCTCAACCAGCAGAGGGCAACCGCCTTTCACCGAGAGCATCTACAAACCCTGTCAGAGTCGCTGAACTGCAGCTTTTGCGAAGGACCATGTAAAGGAAGCCAGGGCACCAAAACAGGTTACTCACCATGGATCCATACAAAATGATAGTCAGAAGTCAGTTATAAATACAGCCTTCTGATACTGGGTGTTTATGTTTAGTGGTTCAAAGCAGGGAGCCAGTGAAATCTGGTCCATTTCACATAAAATGTCAAACTGCTCACAGTAATAAGTTTTATGGAAGTAGAAATAAATACAAGAGTTATATAAATCCACTAAGGTAGAAATTAAAGATCTGGGACTCAGTTCATGCCTGATTTGCATCTGTTTCTGTTGTAGGATAACTGTGTCTTGGCTCCCAATGTTAACCAGAGAAATGGTGACCAAGATATCTTTGGAGATGCTTGTGACAATTGCCGCAATGTCCTGAATAATGACCAGAGGGACACAGATGGTGATGGAAAAGGAGATGCTTGTGATGATGACATGGATGGAGATGGTTGGTAATTCTTCACTTGCAGCTTCTGATGTTCTTGAAGCTTGACCAGAACGTGCTGTTGCGTTAGGAGATACCCTGTCACCAGCTGCTAAGTGTCATGTAACACGTGTTTCTTCATGAAACCTGTGTTTGGAATCCTTTTCATTTAGATTAATATATGTCTCTTAGCCTCCATCGGAAGCACTGGACACTGTAACAGATGAACCAAGCCACGTTTCCTATATAAATTAAGGTTGTTGGTCATTCGATAATTCCTTAAAGGTGCAAACATGTCGCAGAGTACCCAGCTGCTGCCTGTCCCAGATGCCCAAGAGCTAGATTATTATTTTTGTTGCTGTAGGAGGCTTGAAACGAGTGAAAAAATCACAACCCTTCAAATGTAATAACGAAGATGAAACATCCCATCCTGTAAGCTGCGGTACAGGAACAAGATAGAATGAATTGTGTGTAATTAATGAAGTGTATGTGATGGGCTTGAAAGCTGTTCTTTAGCAAGATGTTTCTATCTTCTGTGATTTGCTGTGCAGGTTTATAATGCCATGGCAAGATTAAGTAGTTGCTGAAAAGGAGTGGTGTCTTTATGTTGTCCAGTAACAACTACGGGAATTGTTTTTAGCTAACATCCAACCCACTTTTCACTAGGTATTAAGAACCTTTTGGACAATTGTCAGAGGATCCCCAACCAAGACCAGGAGGACAAGGATAATGATGGTGTTGGTGATGCCTGTGACAGCTGCCCTACAATCAGCAACCCAAACCAGGTTAGCAGGCAGAAGGAAAAATTCTCGTTTAGGGAGTGGGACTGCTGAGGTCTAAAAAGGTGCAAGAGAATGAGGCAGCCTGTGCAGTCACAGTGTTTATCTTTTAACACTAGATATTCAGAAAAGTTCTAAGAAGCTTCAAACTCTCCTGACATGGGAAAGGGGAGCCACCAGGTGTATTCACGTAGCTTGGGATGTTGTTAGCACCTCTGCCCTGCCAGTGTCTTCTCCTGTCACGCTCTGAAATGTGGGCATGCTTCAGTCCCACAGAGCAATGGCAGACTCCACACAGTGTTGTGTATTAGTTACATTTGGTATTCTTTTTATTTCTTCAATTAGGACAAAATCCTGATATCCTTATTTAGCAAAACTTTCATTGCTCCCAGGTGAGAGGTCAATGAGACTTTTCATATGTTTTGAATTCTGATTAAGCCCCTTGTGACTAACAAAAATGCTGGAAATTTTTGAGAAACATGGTAAAGTTTTAAAGCTGCTTAAGAAGTTAATGTTGGTTAGAAATGAGGGATACTTACCTCCACCAGTAGAGGAATCTTGCTTGAACTGCTCCAATCAAGTTGAACCCTGTTGATTAATTGTCTGGGGGTTTTTTTCATTAATAAAACTGACTTTTTGGTTAGAAGGATCTTGCAAACAAGAAAATATATTTTGTAAACCAAATGTTTTTCCATGTTTTTATTTTAATTGTATTTGATTTGGTTGTGTTTTGGTTTAACACGGCCATTGTAATAGATGCTATCAGTAGCTGGTACTGGAACTTTCTCTGTTTTCTTTTGCAGTCAGATGTTGACAATGACCTGGTCGGAGATTCCTGTGATACCAATCAGGACAGGTATGCTGTACTGTGGTTTGTAACAGCAGCAGGGAAGTGGAAGAGGCTAGTCTTGAGCTGAAGCATGCTACTGATTCCTGGAGAGCTGTAATCCCTCACCGTCAGACTAGCCTGGATTTAATGACAATGCCTCCTCAAAGAGATGTTATTTCAAAAACAATGTTATGCTTTATCAGCCTTGTTGGTTCACTTCCCTGTAGCAGTACAGTTACAGAGCCCTTTACCTTTAGCCCTATGTTCGCACAGGCTTCCTGTCAGTTCCTGTGGAAGTGACATTCAGAGTGCTGCTCAGAGCTTCTTACTGAAGTAACACCTTTTTTCTTTTCTTTATTTTTCATTCCTCTTTTCTTTCTTTTTTCCTTTAGCAGAAATTTCATTTATTTTAGCTTGTATATTTTTCTGTAAGAACCTAGTAGTTCAGAAACAGAATTTTATTACCAAGTGTAAAGCATTTGTAGATAAGATAAAGCTCTTTGCTTTAGCGCAGCAAGAGCGGCAAGGCTCTTTGGTGGCTTTTACATGCCCTGAGCATTCAGGGGAGCATGTCCGATGACAACCTGCTAACACCTGGCTGGAAGCAGCTTCTGCATAACCAACTTTGGGGTGGCAAGTCCTCCCCTGTGCTCCTCACTCAAAGCAAGAGGAATGGGAGGTGATAAATCCTGTGCTGGCACAGCATTTTACCAGCCACGGACAGCTGCAGGGTCTCACCCAGGGCCGCTGGTGGGTGCTGCTGTCTGGGACAGTAAGTGCGGGGAGCCCACCTCCGGAGGGAGCATTCCCAGCCTTGGGACAGTAGCTGCCAAGGCCCCCAGCTGGGAGGTGTTTTAGTCTTCAATAGGTATGGCCTTGTTTTTTTCCTGGTTTAAGAAAAGACATGTTTTCTTTTTTCCCTCAAATATAATTAATAGGTATGAAGCATTTCCTGGTAGAAACGCTGTAGCTTTGCCTGAGGTTAACCTTGCAGTAAATATATGTGTGTGGTCCTCATTGCATTTTATCTCAAGAATGAGCGAACATTAGTTGCTCCGACCTAAACTTAAAGCACCTTTCTTAAGCAGGGAGAGGGAGGTGGGAATATGCATAGCTGTAAGCTGCAGCACTGCCTTGATTTGGCTGCATGTCACTTCTGCTCTGCCTGTGCTAGGCAAAAAGCCACTGAGGGGAAACATGCCTGCTTACCACCAGAAATCATTTTGTTTACAGTGTGTGTACAACACACACAAAGTGTTCTGACTTCAGGACACTTTCTTGCACAGATGCACTTAACTGTTGGCATAGCAAAACAATACAGCCGCCCCGTAACTTCCCAAATCCTTTTCTATAATCTGTGTCCCCATTCCTGGTGACTGTCCACTGTAACCAGCTGATGCAGCCATGGGCTGGAGTGGTGCTTGGGAGCCACAGACTTTCTCCTCCGTTTCCTACTGCGCGGCTCCCCTGCAGACCCTAGTGTAACAAAACTTGCTATGCACGAGGGTGAAAGTGGTGCTTGTTTTTAAACAAGTCTGATTTCAGGTGCTCATGCAGAGTCTCTCCCATAAATTTTCATGCACATTCACACCTGCGTGTTCATGAGCAGCAAGACAGTTGTGGACAACCTGTGTGACAAGGGACACCAGCTGTTGAGCTCTTGCTATCTCCTGTGTGCCTTTTGACTGGTGGCACTGCACTTGTTGCATGTGCCTTCCGTGCCCTTTAGGAGTGGATGTTGTTTGGGATCTTTGGCTCTGGTCTCTTCTCCTACTCCATGTAGGGGAGTAAAAGAGTAAAAGAGGCTTCTTTTTCTTTTCCTTATCTGACTATTTTTATAGCTCCAGGTTTAGTCTTCATCTTCCTGCCACCTTATCATACAGTCTCCATTTGTTCCTTGTCTCCTTGCTGTTAAGCCACCTTGGGTGACAGACGTGAGGTCATGGTGGACCACTGGCCTATTTCCAGCTCCAGGGGTGCCTCCACTGTGCTTCCCGCTCAGGTACCCCTGCTGTCCCCAACGCAGAGGCAGGAGCTGATGCTGGCATGCCATCTCTTTTTGTCTCTGTGCTTTTAGTGATGGCGATGGGCACCAGGACAGCACAGACAATTGCCCCACCATCATTAACAGCTCCCAGCTGGACACGGATAAGGACGGCTTGGGTGACGAGTGTGATGAGGACGATGAGAATGATGGCCTTCCTTATCTCTTGCGCCCAGGGCCAGACAACTGCAGGCTGGTCCCCAACCCAGGGCAGGAAGATGATAATGGTAAGATGTTCCTTCAGGAGTCATTTCGGTGCTTAGGCATCCTTCTCCAGGCATTACATATGTGCACGAGGATCTGACATGGTCGCCCCATGTGCACACACTCATCCCAGGAGGGACCCTGGGATCATCTCAGGCCCCCTCCCTGGGCACTGCGGCCATTGGGGCTGAGACTGTGTCTGTTTCTCGGGCACCCTTCATCCAGTGGCTCATCCAGGTGTGGATGTACTTGCTGCACCATAAATCTGCTTTAATTTCTTTGATCCATTCAGGTGATGGAGTCGGGGATATCTGCGAGTCTGATTTTGATCAGGATACAGTGATTGATCGGATCGATGTGTGCCCTGAGAATGCAGAGATCACCTTGACAGACTTCAGGGCCTATCAGACAGTGGTACTGGACCCAGAGGGGGATGCGCAGATTGATCCCAACTGGGTGGTTCTCAACCAGGTAAAAATACATCTGGTCTTTCTTACCTGTCTAAGAAAGATCATTTGAAAACCACAGTGAAACTGCCTCTCTAGTTGCTGGACCTCTGGCAAACAAGTAAAAAGTAGAAGCTATTGGCTTGTTGACTATTTTACAGGAGTTATAATGAAGGAACTTTCTTTTAGCGTATGATAGCTTGAAGCTTGATGCTTCTAATAACCTAAAATAACTACAGGCTGATCAACTTGTTCTGAGTGGATTTCACTGCTGCCAAGAAGGCAAACATGAAACTTCTGTGTCACTCCATTGAAATATTTCTGTAGCAAACGGTTTCATGGATCCTTCCCAGAATTTGGAAGTCTGACCTGCTGTATAGTCTGTATAGCAGAGCATTTACTCCTAGATGGAGTCCAGTAACTGTTATTTACACTAACAAATTCTAGCCTTCAGGAGGCTAATGTGTTCTGAGTCACAAAGAATGTGCAATTTATTCCCATTGACAAAGTCTCTGCCAAGCCAGCTGAGATGTATACACCTTCCTTAACCCAGTCCTGGCAGTCAGTTTTTAATCCCAAACTCGACGATCTAACAGAATGAGCTAAGCCTAGGAGAAGCCTCCCCTTCACCATCCCTCTTTCCACACCCCCCACTCCCAGTCCCATCTCCAATTCTGGCCAGGTTCAGTGATTTCCAGAAGACTGGGCTAGGGAAGGCAAGTATCAGAGTACTCGTATAGCCAATTCTGCAATGGGAAAAGAAAAATCCCTCCTGACTCAGGACACACAAGCAGCTGAAACATTAGTATTTGATTGTAGTTCTCATTTTAATTCAGAGCTACAAGTGTTACCGACATGCTGCGAGCAAACGGAGGAGATGGATGGAGGGGCTGCTGGAGGGAGGCCAGAAGAGGCTGCCAGGCTTAGCAACCCAGCTTGTCACACACACTAACCTCCCTGAATTTATTCTTACAGGGCATGGAAATTGTGCAGACTATGAACAGCGATCCTGGCCTTGCTGTTGGTATGTAGCCTCTTCTGAGATTCAAGTTTTACAGCAGAAAATTTATAGCATGTGAATGCATTTTCTGCAGACCTGTTTTTAACCTGCATGTATCCTCAGGTTACACAGCTTTTAACGGCGTTGACTTTGAGGGCACTTTTCATGTGAACACGGTGACAGATGACGACTACGCTGGCTTTATTTTTGGTTATCAAGACAGCTCCAGCTTCTACGTGGTAATGTGGAAACAGACTGAACAGACGTACTGGCAAGCGTCTCCCTTCAGAGCTGTTGCAGAGCCCGGCATTCAGCTAAAGGTACTGGTCGTGGCTTCTAGCTGGGGACACAGTGGTCACCACAGCCTGGCTATGCCATCCTGCCACGTACTGGCCATGCCACCCCGCCATCTGGCTGCCGTGGGCTAAGCTGTCATGCCTTGCGCTGGCCAAGCTGTCACACTGCGTGTCGGCCGTGCTGCCCGACTGCTGTTTTCTCCCTGCAACAGGTGTCAAAACTGCTAAGTCAAGCGGCTGCCATACAGCCCTTTTAATAGCACCATTTTTTAAGGAACTTCAGCTCCAGTCTTGCCCCTGCTCATCAGCTGGAGCGTTTAGTCTCTGCTCTCATTGTGCTCTGACTGTAACTGGACAAATTGCTTCCTTCTCCTTGGTCCAGGTACTCAGTTGCTTTTCCATGCAAGCAGTGGCTGAGGTTATGCAAGAGAAGTTCGGGGCTTGTAAGCAAGAGGGAGGGTGCTTCTGCAGACCTGCTCCCCACTACAAAAAGATTTAGACTCCTGAAAGTGACATTTCTCTGTGGTCAGCATGGGAAAATTGTATTTCTGCAGGCTGTGAAATCCAAGACAGGCCCTGGCGAGCACCTCCGCAACTCCCTCTGGCACACAGGGGACACCAGTGATCAGGTCAGGCTGCTGTGGAAGGACCCCCGAAATGTAGGGTGGAAAGACAAAGTCTCCTACCGCTGGTTCTTGCAGCACAGACCGCAGATCGGTTATATCAGGTAAGAGAGGAGAGGATAGATGAGGTGAGTGCAGATACATGTCTGCCTAAACAGTTCATTCTCAATACCTAATTCAGGTGATAATCTGAGAATTTATAGTATGTCTGATCTTTGCACTGATGAAGCCTTATAACCAGTCAGACTTTTGAAATTCAGCCTGCAGTTCTTTTCCTAGGAAAGACAATTCCAATCTAAGCCTATTTGCTACCGAAATTTTCTACCATCTGGCTGTTGTAACTGTGCCCTACCCTAATAAGCCCTTTTCTAGCTTTAATACCCTGTTTTCCAAGCTACTACTGGCCACTGATCTGAAAAACAATGCAATTTCTTAATTTTGATCTTTTAGAATATTTTTGTTGGAATTATGATAGTTCATTTACATATTCTAGGATAACAGAATTAACAAAAGTTGTCCACTTAAATGTTGTAATCCTAACTAAGATCAGCAATTATCCTGACATGATAGATTTGAGATTACACGGTATGTTCAGAAAGTTTGTCAAAGCTATGTAGTGAATCTATTCTTATTTTGTTATTTGGAAAAAAAAGTTATTTAAAAAAAATTCACCATTCTGGAGGAAACTGCTTCACTCTGCAGCATCCAGGTCAGCAAGGTTGATGTTAAAATGCAAAAAACAAACTGCTCTGCCATCATCAGTTCAGGTTTTGCAACCTTAAAATAGAACAGAAATACAGGTAAATCAGTTGTTCCTCAAAAAATCACCACCCTGCAGTCCAGATGCAGTAACTTCATGGTGTAATTATTCCACTTTTCTGGTGCAGAGCATCATCTTCAGCAGTAATTGGAGTGAGTATGTTTGACGTTGTGCTGAAGTGGATCAAGAACATTTATACTGTTAATTATTGTGTCCCAGCCAGAGGGCAGTAGTGATCTGCCCGCTGGGATCCGACCGCTCCTGGGTGGCAATGCTTTGTTTAGGCCAAACTGCCTGTAAAGCTGCTTCACGGGCACACACCTGCCTGTGGCTGCAGTCTCTCTAGCCAGCCTAATTAATACCCCCTGCAACTGGGAAAGGTAGCAAAGTCAGTGTCACAAAATCCTTCAAAAACTAAAGGCAGCCAGGCCTCAAGCAAACCTCTGCCAGCTCTCTGTCCACATCTTGCTGTGGTCTGTTCAGGCCAGATGCCACAGACCACAATGTGTCTAGCAAAGGTTTTCCGAGGCTTCAAGGAAGCCTAGGAAAAAGTCACTTGAGCCAGACTCTCCCACGGAAATTTGAAAGACAACAAGTTCTATTCATTGTACAGATACTTTTGAACTCCCTCAGCAAATTAAACTCAGGAACATAACAGGAATTATTGGGGTTTTTTCTTCTGATTTTATGACACAACACAGGAACTTTCTTTCCCTTCACCACTCACTATTTTCTTGCATGTCAGACCAGCAGTGTCCTCATCCAAAACAGGGCCCTCCAGACTCATTATCCTCTGCGTGGTTTAGCCAGTACCCCAGAGGCTGAGGTGTAGACGGCGCAGCAACAGCTCAGCTGGCTCCAGCATGGTCCCACTGAAGCCGTCCGTACAGGGCACACACCGGGGAGCTGGCAGCGCGCAGCTGTTCCCAGAGCTATTTGGGAATTTGCCGATGGGTTTTCTAACAAGATGCCAGATCATCAAAACTCCTCCTCGAATTAATCATATTCACATTTTTAAAGAAATCTCACAGTCAAGTTTAAGATTCCACACAGTTTGTTTGAAACTTTGCCTATTAAAAAAAAAAGTTCAGCTTCAAACTGTGTGAGACAGTATCCATCTGGCCTTCTTCAACTGATCTAATCTGGTTCTCCCTTCCTCCTATAACTATCAGCTGTGGAAATTTTCAAGAGTTAAAGCTCTTAGCCTGACTGACTACAGGAAGAAAAACATTCCAAGGCTTTTGTAGGATGTATAAAAAAAACCAACAACCAAAACACCCTCCCTGCCCAACCCTTGCCAGTGTGCAGCGTTGGGCCAGTTCCCAGCCTACAGAGGAGCTAACTTAACCTTTATCCCTTGTCCTGTCACAACAGGCCCTGATAAAAAGTCTCTCCCCATCTTTCTAATAACTCCTTCCCTTTAAGTACTGGAAGGCTGCAATAAGGTCTCCCCGGAGCCTTCTCTTCTCCAGGCTGAACAACCCCAACTCTCTCAGCCTGTCCCCGCAGGAGAGCTGTTCCAGCCCTCTGATCATTTCTGTGGCCTCCTCTGGACCTGCTCCAACAGGTCCATGACTTTCCTGTGCTGAGGGCTCCAGAGCTGGATGCAGGACTCCAGGGCTAGAGTCACCAGGGATTAATGAAATTACTTTTATGAATGTTGCAACTTTGGAGAAGACCTAACAGATCTCCTGTTTGCTTTTGTTAAGGGCAAGATTTTATGAAGGCTCTGACCTGGTGGCAGACTCTGGTGTAACTATAGACACCACAATGCGTGGAGGACGGCTTGGAGTTTTCTGCTTCTCTCAGGAAAACATTATTTGGTCCAACCTGAAATACCGCTGCAATGGTAATGATGCTTTTATGTCATTTTAGCTAAAAACTAGCTAGCGACCACTAAGAACCGGTAGTATGGTTGTTGGATTAAGAGATTTTGCGTGCTTTTTGCTTTTCATTTACTAGTTACTCACAGCTGTGAAACGCCTCCCCTGACACCAGCAGCACACTGCAGCCCAGCCAGACGGGAACTCACACCTCACAACTGCTCCTCCCAGAGCAGTCACTCTGCTGCAGAGGTTGTGCCAACTAAGTAGTATAGCTGTCATCAGAGAATTAGAAACGTTATTTAAAACCAACCAACCATGACAGTTGTTACACACACAATACACTGAGGCCATCATGTGTGTAGGATGCCTCGAGCTCTGAATACAAGGTGAAATAAATCTGGATAGCCAGTGGGATCAGTCATCAGGCATCAGTGTCACTTGCGTACTTGCTGGTTGCTTCTGTCTGTGGGGGCATGAGTTTACAAGATGCCCTTCCACCCATGGAGGAATCCTTCTCCAACTCTGTGGGACCATGCAGGCTTGCTCCTCTTGGGGTAAGAGCCTTGCAGCTTGGCCTTGATCTCCCACTGTCTGGAATAACTCAAACCTTGGTCACTGAGCTAGAAGCTGATCATGTCAGCGTATTTCTGCCCTGGCAGCAGTTCAGCTAGCTTGAAGTGGGGTTGGAGTGGCTGCCCTGCTCCTCAAGAGCATCAACCCCTACCTGACCAAGCCAGCCTTAGGAAAATAAGTTACCATCCAAGTTGGGACAGTTACCTTGTCTGCTTTCTGTGGATCCAAGAAGCCCAGCCAAGGTCTGCAGTGGACACAGTGGCTGCAGGACCAAACCCTGGCTCTGTGACTTGTTCTGATGATGGACTCTGGTTCTTGGGCACTCGGTACACCTAGGCTGGTGCTTGGCTGTCATGGTTAAATAGGGGAACTTCTAGACAGTGGTGCTTACAATGACAAATTACTCGATAAGAGTCTCAAACAGTATGTGGTTTCCCAGAAAGCATATTTCAAAGCTGGCACTGAAGTCGTAGATACTTCCCTGGCAGTGAGCAGGCAGTGGCTTTGCTGCAGGCGCTGCATTAAGTCAATGAACCCACTCAAAGAAGTCTCTGGAGTCCCGAGGTGTCCCTGCTTTAATTTCAGACAAGTTCCTACATTTGCAGAAAAAGCTTAAAAAGAATTTTCAAGCTTCAAAAAAAAGAAGTTATCAACAAAAAGCAAATGACTTAGCCCTTTTTTCTATATACTGTGTGTATTTTTATAGTTACTTCCTTTTTTGAGTTTTTTTTTACCTGTCCTGCTTCAGGGTGGAAATAATCAGAGTGAAGTTGAGGTCTTACAGTTGAGCTTCATTGCTGTGACTCCATCTTTGGCTGCAGTTTTAGCTCTACAGTTAGCTCTGTGGCTCTCCAGATAAAATGTTCTGAGATCTGGAAAAGCCACACTGCACACTCAACAGTTCCAACAAAACTGTAGTTACTTTTATGATATTGACCCATCTCCAGCTCCCTTCCTTTGCCAGTGCTGAAGTTTCTCTGCCATTGCTATTGGTCCTCGGGTTAACGTTTCTGTCCCTTCTTGTGGCGTGGGAAACCATCACAGGGAAGCTGAATTAGGATACATGAGAAATAGAGATGCTGATGCTACAAACGTGTCTGGGCTGCAGAGCAAGACAACCACTTCTTCTGCCTTTTTGGACAGCGTTTATTAATAAAAATAGGAGTGGAAGGAGAAGTTTTCAGGTGGGAATGTAATTTGAAGATTGATAGTATTCCATTATGGGCTGGCACTGTAGTAACTCACTGTCTCATTAGCCTCTCTGTGCTTTTCCGTGGAGTACAACTAAAATTAAAAACATTCCCTGTTCATTCTTAATGTGTAAACAAAAAAGAAGGCATGTTACCTACAAAAATAAAAGAGTAGGTGGGTAATTCATAAATTTAAGTGCCTCTTGATTTTGTCAGAAGAGACTAAACTTTCGTGTATTTTCCTGTTTTCAGACACCATCCCAGAGGACTTTCAAGAATTTCAAGCTCAGCAGTTTGGCGTTGGTGATATTTGAGAAGGAAAAGCAAACTAACATTGCTATTGCAAACAATAAAACAATATATTTTAAATCCATATATGATTGTTGTTGTAAGAGTGCACACCGCAGCTTGTTGTCATTGATGTGACTATGTCAGACCTTTTTTTTTGTATAAAAGTGAAAATAAAAAGGAGACAAAATAGACTGGGGCGTCACTTGTTTTCAAATTTGCCCTAAAATTTAGGGAGCAGCATGTAATGGAGTCACACGTGCTTAAAACATTCTCAGGAAAAGCATGAATCTATTGCCATTTTGGATTCGGTTCTAAAAAGGGTGGAGAACAAAGTTCAGTTTTTGTCTATCTATTTGGAATGTGTCAGAAACAACAGGTTGCGTCTGGGCATGAAGTGGTTGGGAGCTGTCTGGCCAAGCCAAGGGCTTCTTAGTACTGTTCCAGTCCTGCTAGGAAGAAGTTTTATCTCCTTTAGAGCAGTTTAACTCCTTTGGAGACTTAGTCACCTTTGGCAGACCTCCTCTAAGAACTCTATTAGACCTCCCTGCCCTCCCACTCCCAGCAATCTATGAGTAACACTATCACATCCTGTAAAAGCAAAAAAGTTGACTGCAGGGTGTTGTAGTCACATCTTATGACTTGCATGTGACTAAAACAAAAAAAGACATATGGAGACAAATGCAGAATTCCCCACAGAGAGAAAATAATCCTAACTTTCACATACAGAAAGCCAAGCTTGGACCTGCTCCACTCAGAGCCCAGCTCTCTCAGCAGGTAGTACAATCTTACGAAAACAAGTCACCACATTAAAAACCCAAAGCACTGCATTAAGCATGAGGAAAGGACTGGAAAACAAAAATCCCCCCCCCAAATTGTGTTACAATGCACTCTGTACTTCAAAGTATAGAAAGTTGTTGGATACCTTGTGCATTTCTACTACGTTCTTTTTTAAAAGGAGCTAAGAAAGGAAGGGAGGACAAGACCCAAGGGCTGCTGAGAAAAAGGCTATTGCAGCCAACAGGTTAACCACTTTTTACTTTAAAAAGGAGAATGGGAAACAGTGCTTCGGCCTGGGGGGAAGGAGGAAATACACAGAGGGGGAATGCAGTGAGGGTTTTAAAAATCAGAAGCAGGCCCAAGAAAAAGAACAGCCATGGCTCTTGCTCTGCACAAGAATACAGGGGAAATGCTGAGTTACATTATCAGGTGAGAGTACCAAAACAACAAAAAAGGAAGCCTCCTGTTCTCAGTGCAATAAAAATAATACCCTTAAGGTTTATGGTGCTATCAAAGGCTTGGGCTACCAGCAGAGTTTTCACTGCGGGCTTGTGCAGCAGTGCCAAGGCTTCTGGGAGCAGTACCACGAGGGGTCCCGGAGTCCCACAGCAAAGAGCACGACGCAGGAGTGTTCCTCTGGCACAGCATTTCATCATGAAGGGTCCTCCAGCTTCAGTCCTCCATTCCCCTCGGCTTCACCAAACCCAGCTTCACTCACTAGGTTTTCAACAGAGGCTTGAAAGGCTAGTTACTTTGGAGCAACACAGAGGCTATTTGTCAAATTACGCTTAAAAGATGAGAAAAAAAATCTTTTTCTACATGAATACAGGCTGTGACTGCAGCATCGTTCATTTATGAATGAGAACATGGACCATAAAGCAAATTTACATCTTCCTTTATCATGCGTTTGCATTTCACTGGACAGAACCCCTTCTCCAGGCAGAAATCCTCTAACGGTTTGGGCGCGATCCGGGCAGAAGGCAGTCAGCGCATCGCGCTCAGGCGCGCCGCGGGTGCTCCGCAGCCGGGCCCACCTGCCTGCAGCGCACACATTTCGCACAAAAAGTGGTCTCCCCCCACAGTGGAAGCAACAGGCCTGGCCCACCCCAACCTGCTGGCCACGTGTGCCGATCAAAGCATGACAGCACCCATCAGCTCCATCAGAAAAGATGGCTACAGCTGGCCTCCAAACCCCTGCCAGCGTCTGAGCCTCCATGCCTGTGGCTGGAGGCTCTCCTCCTGCTGCAGCGGCTGGGAGGGAACACCCTGGCCATTTGCCACACCAGTTTTTGCCACTTTTGAGCTTGCTCATTTGCACTGAGTCATAGAATAGTTTGGGTTGGAAGGACCTTTAGAGGTCATTGAGTCCAACCCACCCTGCAGTGAGCAGGGACAGCTTCAACTAGACCAGGTTGCTCAGAGCCCCATCCAACCTGACCTGGAAGGTTTCCAGGGATGCGGCATCTACCACTTCTCTGGGCAACCTGTGCCAGTGTTTCACCACCCTCAGTGTGAAAAATGTCTTCTTTATACCTAGTCTAAATCTGCCCTCTTTTAGCTTAAAACCGTTGCTCCTTGTTCTATCACAACAGGCCCTGCTAAAAAATTCCAAGCTCTCTTTCAGCCTATGCCATGGCTGTTGGCCACTGGAAGCTGGAAGAGGAGATACAGGCTCTGGCTCTTGAGCTGCCAAAGGTAAGTAAGTGCATAAAGCTGTGAGCTTCTAACCTCCCCAACAGAAAACATACCGGCTTTTT